CAGGACTGAGAGAGGGTCGCAGTCGAAAAATACACTGGACTGACTTCCGCTCAATAAGAAGAAGGCCATTTGCTGACGATCATGTTGAGACGTGGTCCAGGCCATCCTTCAGTACTTGGAGATGTGCCGGACTTTTAAGAGGATGACCAACAAACAAGCATTCATCTGGCGACCGTAGGTCTTCAGTGTGGAAGGAGAAGAGATGAAGGGATAATATAAAGCCTTGGATAACTTCATAGTTGTTGGGAAGAACCGTGGATTTCCGCTGCCCGCACCGAAACGAATTGAGTGCGGGAAGTGAAATAGAGTCCCCAAGCCAAGAGACAGCCCAGCCGGGAGAGCCGCATGCAGAAGTTTTATTAAGTAGAAGATGGCGCGGGATGGTATTAAAGGCTCAGGAGTAGTCGAGAAAAGCACATCCGTATACACGACAGCCCTTATCTAGATCTCTTAGCCTTAGGCATACTTCCAGAAAGGATACATACACCCATGTCCTAATCCTGACATTAGTTCTAACATAAACCTCAACGCTAGTCCCAATATTAACCCTAACACCCTACAGGCAAGAGTAAACTTAACCTTGATTGTAAACTTACACTTCACTTATCCTGACGGTAGTCCTACCTCTAAATTCAAATCTAACTCTAATCATAAACCTAGCACTAGGTTCTTTGGAAGTTGGCGCATAGATGCCTTTACTGTGAGCGGTTTCCGTTCTCATGTTCGGTTAAGGGAGCCGAAATTTGCGAACGATTCATAATCACTTGCAACTCGGCATCAACGTATGTACGAAAACTTTAAATGATAATGAACAACCTTAACTTAAAGGGAAGATGAAAAGTACTAATTGCTTGCTTAGACAAAAAGCATTTTTAAAGAATCCCCAAGTTTCGTAAACGTGAAAAATAGCTCTAAATTAGACCGATAAATGCAAACATACTCATCGAGTGAACTCGTTACTTTACCTTTTTCTTTATATTAGAAGAAGTCTTCTTTCGTAGAATTTCTTTCTAAATATTTCAGGTATTGGATTGCAATTGCTTTCAGATCGTCCTTTAAATTCCGGATAAATTTCCACGATTTTCATTGGTTTCAAGCTTCTTTCGATCAATGTTGGTTCTTCCCGATGTTTATAAGAAAACCGTTAAAATAAGATATTTCTTAAAAGCATTTACCGTAGAACGTGACCTTTTGGATTTTATTTCTTATGAAGAAGACAAAGTGGACCATATTTATAAATTTCTAGAAGCAACAAAATGCACTGTAAAGCAAAAAGAACATCTACAACGGAAGTGTGATATTCTTGCGTCTAAAATCCTTTAAAAACTGTCGGCAATAGGTAGCCCTTTTAAAATCCTCCTTACCCAATGTCTTTACTTCTCCACTGGGCGAAAGGTCATATCTGTCTCAGAGTACCTTTGAGTAAGCTGAGACCACTTTGGATGCTTGATAATAAAATGATCACCGAGCAAATTATGTTCAACCTATCAACTTTGATTTCCTTTAGCAGTTTCAGTCGCTCCAGCTGGGCCCCAGAACTTCTGACAGTCTGGGTCCATTTCCGAGCGTCCTTTTGCATACGCGAATTATGTGATTCGCGGAGACCCTTCTGTTAAAAGCCAGTGTATCCAGTTAGTCAGAGGTAACTGTCCGCGCTATCTACCAAGCGCAGGAGAGTTCATTGCGCCTAACATGGCGAGCAACGTTTTTCGAAACGTCAGCAATGCGCGTACTGCACAGCATCGCATCGTGGCTCTATTGACCACCACCGCACCAAATACTTGAACCAATCAGCTGCCAGTTGACTTATCGATCAACGGCCAGGATACTTCGAAAGGCTGACCTTGCACGAGCAGCCTAGTGAAACGCCTTACTTTTACCCTCGCTATCAAAAATGCAATCCGAAAAAAGTGAGAGGAGAAGTCCAACCCCTCTTTCTTGGGCTAAACAGGAGGGAGCAGTGCTGGTGGCCGATGCCGGGGAAGAAACTACCGATGTAGAAGAAGTCATTCCTACCTTTGAGTTCGAGGGGTTTGAAGAACGATCACATTCAATCGCTGCTAAATGGACTCCCAGCATCCCTGTAGCAAATCTATTCAACTTTGTGCCGGAGTTTATCCCCTTCCCGGCCGACTGTGATCTGGAAACTGCACCGGCCATTATGAAGAATATGTTGCATGGTCGTCGTGAGCTACCAGAATGTACCATTCCTCCAGATGGTACGCTCAAGATTATTTATTTCTCATAGATATGCTTCAGTCTAATCTAGGGTATTTTGACGTGCAATACTCCCATCTAAAAGCAAACTAGCTAGAAACCCATTTCTGAATAT